CCAGCTTAATCTGTACCGCAACGTCGGAAAGCCATGAGAAGCAGTTCTAAGGAAGCATCATTCAGAACTCACCACATTTACAAGTGACGCAGCTGCATGGTGTGTTAGACGTTGACCGGCCAGCTTCGAAATGACTCGGAACAACCGATGGCCAATGTGCTGTTTTATCAGATCATTACGGAATTTCACTGCTGTTTCCGTATCGAAATTCTACAAACATCAAGCATGATCAACTACGATAAAGCAACCTTCTTTCTTTAAGATACCGTTTTCCGCTGCTCTTGCATGAACAACATCACATATCCCGTCGCTATTTTTCGGAACTCTTCCCGAATGGCGCCCTCTGTTGGCAGATCATCAGACATTCGCCAATAATGCTTAAATACTTTGAAATAGAATCCAAATGAGGAAATACAATGCAGACAAATTACAAAGATGCTAGATTATGAACCGAGCGCTTCGCCTCAGGTGAGAATCGAGCACACACACACCACCCGATTTCTGGGCCCTTGTGATCCGGAAGGCGAAAGGCGATGGTAGTAACACTGACTGTCACATTATTATCACAATGGTAAATATTCATTAGCTATGGCGAATCGATTCTGAAGGAAGGAGCAGATTGCCTTATGCTGCAATGCGCACCCTTTTCGTCTCACACGAGGTCCGGGTTAGATTCTCGCTTGGGGCCAAGTATTTCGTCCATAACATAGCATCATTTTGACAGCTTTTGCATGGAGATGTATGGTAAAGAATAGCTGTTAACAAAGAAAGAAGCAATAGATATTTTAATGACAGACCTGCGTTTCTGCTTTGAGCTGTTCTGTTGGCTCCCTCTCCTCCTCAGTACTTTCTACCATTTTTTCACAGATACCTTAATTAAAGACAATGTGATCGTAACAGATGTGAAGCATAGGATTCTGTGCCAATTATTAAACACCTACCAGTAAAATTATGCCCGTCATACCACAACAAGGTACTCCAAGTTTGAGTTGGTCTCATGTGTAAGGCAGCGAATAGAGGATTTTGGCCAAGTGATTGCAACAAAAGATCCGTGAATGCCGTGCCTTGTTCTAGTTCACATTTTCCCGTATCCAGCACAAGACGCGTTGGCGTTGCATGGATTACCTTCAAAAGATACATCAGTTACTAATGCCAAACTTGGAAGAGGGCTCAAGTATATTTCGCACTTCACCTTCGCACCGAGCCGTTCGCACTCAGCTGCTAATAGAAGGACGAGCTTCCTCTCCAGGATTCCGACGCTTCTCGTTATAGCGGGATCGAACAGTAGCGCGTTCGAAGAGTGGAGCCACCTAAACTCTCAATTAATCAGAGCTCTTAACACCTTTATCAAGACCTGTGTCACCGACGATGGACAAGCAAAGATTAAAGAAAAGAATGTGAAGTATTTTGTGACTGTAAAAAACTTGACATGTTTTTTCGCGACTACCTAATCGTCAGCATCCAAAAAAGGTAAATTCTCAAAAACCAAGAGTGATTTTAGACTTCACACTCCTGCTTAAATCAGCGTTGCTGGACGTTCAATGTTGATGGAACGTTCAGGGCGTTCAAGTACGAACGAAATGTCAGAAGTCATCTAACTCAACCGTCGCCGTCGCCTCTGACGCACTGCTCGCCGACCATTGTTTTACATTTGAATTACGGAGTAATAAATTACAGTCAAACTTGAAGTTCACCTGCTGAGTGACATGACGACCTGGTCAGCACGCTTATTGGCACTGTGAGCAATATCTCGGACACATTCTGTCAACATTAGCTTCAGAACTTTCAAAGCCGCGTCCACAGCAGCCCCTTCATCAAAAGCCGAGATAGTATTCCTAAACAGAGGAGAATTCACAAAACCAAGAAAAAAATCCGAAATCTCTCCGTAGATCATCAAGTGGAGTCTCTCGGAAATCGAACTTGCAAATACCAAAGCGAAGAAAGCTTTCAAAATTCATCACATACCGTAACCCATTGTAGGAGTCGGATGGTAGAGCAGCCGATGAGTCAAATGCAACCGTGTCATCCGCACCTTCAGCTTCAAGCAGTCGACCTCGCTGTACAAGAGCAGTTACCTGCAAAAAAAATTCTCAAAGGTTCAATGACAACAGACCAACGAGCATTGAAATTTTTCTCGGAAATCATTTCCGCGTAGATGGTAAAGCATTTGTTAATATTGGCCAAGCTCCTGGCACTGAGAGGAAATAACCTGGATGAAGGAACTGGGAGGAAAAAAGTCATCGACATTTTGGTTTGTCGACCTTTTATACGATTGGTGCCTCATTTGAATTGAAGAAGTTTTCGACAAACAGCTGGTTTGTGTGACCGTAAAGTCTGGACGGGCAAGAAATAGTCAATAATGAATGATTACATTGTTCCTGAATCGGTGAGTTGGTACCAGTCTGCAGGGTAAAAAGGATGGGCAAAACGTGGTCTCGGGAAATAAATGTTCAGGTGTGGCACATATTCCAGAGCTACTACAGTCTAGAGTGAAAGTCAAAAGTGTGGTGCTTCCCAGAAAGGTGGAGTTGTAAGCACCACAATATTCAGTTTTACAACTTATTCTTCTCTTACGATTAGACACAAACTGAGGTCTTTAATATTCAAAGGAGACAGACATCTATCCTCTTTTCTGTGAGCACAGCTAACCCGGTTACTCGGATTAACTTGAAGGACTCAAACTACAGATGTGAATAAAGTTTTACAGCCACGGGTAAAGGTTAGGTGTTGAGGAGCCAGTCTCTCCATGAGTGAGATAGAGAGACTTCCACACACAGGAGCTGCAACATTGTCGCTACTCAAAAGTGCAGGGCAACGACGCTAAGGCCTTGCCTTGTGTGCTGTCGTACTGCCATCTTATCAATCGCGGAATACGTGGCGTCTGTTCTCGCAGTGCTGTGTCTCTCCGTCTTACCACAGCCGACGTCACGGAAATTCCAGTGTTTTCTACAGCGCTTTTTGCTTTCTCGTCTCCCTAACATTGCCCATCTTGTCGTGTTTTCAAACAAGATAAGAGATCAATGCGACCTCAACCCGTGCCTCAGAAAAAAAAACATACCGCAACGGCCTCGAGAGCAAATTCGATACATATACTTCCGCAGAACGATGGCGTATTCAGCAGAACTGTTTCGTCCAGTGTCAATGGTTTCCAATCTGCACTAAGACGGAGATCGTCAAGTTCCTGAACACATTACTAGAGAAGAAAAACTCCAGTAATTGTAGTAACGATACAAACTCACTTTGCCGCCGAGATCAGGTCGGCTCGGAAGGCGATGCCCAAAGAACATGTCCAGCCCTTTGAAGATTGCGAGCAAAAAATAGATCAAGCCCAAAGAGACCTGCGTCATTTGGTTTACAGCTACCAATAGGTGACTTGCGACGCAGATAACACAACACCAATTGACCAGTTGGTAGTCCTTAATGACTGCAAGTTGATTTAACACCTTGACGACAGCGCGGCAACTAGGTTTGCCGCGTTTTGCACGCCGCAATGGACATTGTGGCAACTATAGTTGCCACACCCTTTACATTCAGTTTTTTCTTGAACGCGCCATTTCTTCCCAGGTTTTTTGTGTTCATTTTTTAGGCCATACCACAACATAACCAAGAACCACGCGGCTTATAGAATGACCAAATATTCTTTAGTTTGGCAGAGGTTTTTCGGACCGGACGAAAATATCCGTTCAGTTCATTCCTCATTTTCTCTTCATTAACACGAACATGTAGATAAAAAAGAATATTAGAAGTGAGTACAAAGCTACTCGTGTGGCAAGATATGTGTTTTATTAACTTCGTGTATAACATACATTATA